AAAACTTCTGGGAAGCACCCATCATTATCTCCATTTTACATATTTAAATAAAACTAAGAATAAGAGAAGTGTGTTTGGTCCCAAACCTACAACAAAAAGTGGGTGAGCAGCTAGAATTCAACCTAAGTCTGTGTGATTTTGAGGCCCCACATGCTGCTATATAACAAGAAACGGATCATGCTCCCAGCAATTTCACTCATAGGTGATACCTAAGAGAAAAGAAAATATATGTTCACATAAAAACTTATGCACAAATGTTTATGACAGCATTATTCATACTAGCCAAAGGGTAAAAACAGCCCTTAATGCCAATCACTGATGAATAGATAAACTGGAATTTTTTTCTTCCAATGGAATATTACTTGGCCATAAAAAGGCAAAAAGCAATGATACATGCCACATGCCACAACATGGAAGAAACTTGAAAACATTTTGCTAAGTGAAAGAAGCCAGACACAAGAGTATATACTGTATGATTTCATTTACATAAAATGTCTAGAAGAAGCAAATATGTAGACACAGAAACTAGATCAGTAGTTGCTCAGGACCTGGGAGATAAGGCAGTGATCCCTAAAAGATAACACAGTTGCTTGTTGTAATGATTAAAATGTTCTAAAGTCTTCTGTAGTGAGGTTGTGCATAACAGTGAATATACTAAAAGCCACTGAGTTGTGCACTTTAAACAGGTAGATTGTATGGCATGTGAATTATATCTCAATAAAGTCATTTTAATATAGCCATGACTGATAAGGGACTCTAGGTTCTGTCTCCTGAATGTTGAGAGACAGAAGTTGCATGGTTCAGTGGAAAGAACAAGAGCTTTGGAACCAGTGACCTTGGTCAAGTTTTTTAGGCTTTTGGAGCCCTAGTCCCTTGTCTATAAACTGTAGTGAATGAGCCCTATCTCACCAAGTTTTTATGATGTACAGGAAAGTCCCTGGCCCCTCCAGTTCTGAAACTGGCAATTTTGAAGTTTGAGGCTTGAGTAAAGAAGTAAAAAGGGTGACAGAGTTCCCTTGCTTTAGAGTTATCTCCACAAGTGACCCTTCTCTCCTGCATGGGTCAGAAGCTGGTCAGCCAAAGGCTGGAAGGAGAGTTAGAGATTAGCTGTGGGTCCCCAGATAAGAGGGACAGACAGAAGGTAGAAAACAAGGGGGATTTGTCTGAACTCAAACAACCTGCTGACCACAAACTGTTAGAATCTAGAACTAGGCTTATGGGAGAGCTGTGAGCCTGGCTTCTGCTACAAGTAAAATGTGGCTCCTTTTCAAGGGAGTGGGATGGGCTAGATCATCCTGATGTATTTTTTTCCCAACTATGAAGTATCTGCCAAAAATGCAGCAATGCTTCTCTGAAAACAACTGGGGGATGGTAAAAAGGTAGAAAAAAGCTAAACAAGTAAAAAATAAATAAAATAAAGCAACAAACAAGTCTTAACTTGATAATGGTGGTACTTTCGTACTAGGAAATACTAGTGGTGAAGTCCAGTTGATCATGTCATACATTCCAAATTTGCAAATTCACTAGGCTGGAACAAATGCTCTGCCTTCCTGTTTTAGCTCATACTGTGTGACAAGTGTGCCTAAACAGTGTGTCTGTTCAGTGCCATGTCCTCTACACTGTTTTGCTTTTTGTTGATTTCTGTTTAAACGGCCCCAAGTGTACTGCTGATTTGCTGTCTAGTGTTTCTAAGCATAAGAAATTAGATGCCCCTTAACAGAGACTGTATATGTATCAGATTATGTTCCTTCAGGTATGTTATAGGGCTGTTGGCCATGAGTTCCATGTTAATGAATCAGCAATAGATATCATTGAGTGTCTTTAAATAGCACACCTGAAAAGTTCATGTTGCACAGTTGGCAAAAATGTGACCAGAGGCTTTCAGAAGCTTTACATTTCTTCTAGAAGCAACTATTTGGTATTTGTTATTCAGTATTTGTGCTGTCTTTATAATTACTGAGAATAACAGGAATTGACTGTACATGCTATGTGATTTTCATACATTATCTCATTTTAATGCCCACAGGAGGGTGTCATCTTCGTTTTACTGATGAGGAAAGTAGGGTTATCCATGTGTCACTTAGAGCTAGCACGTGGAAATGACAGGACTAAGATCCATTTTTAACTCCCAGAGGAGGAAGGGAGCTCTCCAGCTTTTGAAGGGGAATGCCAATTTTTAGGAAAAGATAATGGGTCCCTCATTAGGGTTGGTAGAAGGCCCAAGGAGAGTTGATCTTAGTCAAGAGCAGTATATACCTGAGAAAGAAGGAGGAAATAACTAAACATGACCTTCTAGGTGTAGTGTGCACTGGTCAGATGATAAGCTAAGACAGTGGGAAGACTTCAGTTGGCAAAGAAGTGATGCACCGGAGTGGGAGGAATATTGGAGCCACCATATCAGGAAAGAAAAAATGGAAAGAATAGGAACCAGTCAACCTAGAAAGGACAGCATGGAGAAAAGCAGGAGGGATCTTTCAATATCTAAAGAGCTATCTTGTGGATGAAGAACTAGATGGAAAGCAGAACTAGGACAGAAGGTCAGTAATTACAGGGGCAGATGTTGCTCAACGTAAGAACATTTTGTGATATTCAGAACTTTCTTACAAGTCAAACTTAGAAATCAGTAGTCCATAGGCCATATTCAGCTGCAGATGTTGGCTTGCAGTGTTTTGTTTTTTAAAATGTATTTAAATGCCATCTGTGGGGAATGTGCTTTCTTGTCCATAGCCTGCTGCAACCTGTGCTTCTGACCCATGTCATGTCCAATGTTAATGTTGCCTTGCTCTTGAAACATTGTTGCCAGATTTAGTGAATACAAATATAGGATACATTTACACTTGAATTTCAGGCAAGTGACAATTTCTTAGTATGAATACATCCTATGCAAATCCTGGGATAAACATTTATATTCCAATATTTGGTATTTACTAATGCTGCTCTGTATTTATCTGAAAGCTCTATCCTGGAGACTTTAAATGGGAGCCCTTGATGTTGTATTTTGAGTAAGCAGTCTCCATATTTAGGAACCGTTCAGGGCTTTCAGAGGAATGCTTGCAATGGAAACAAGGCTGAACTTGTTTAAGTATCCTGGCCCTATTTTCTTGACATCTGCCATTTCAGAATAATAAAACAATACAAGGTAGGAGTTAACTCAGAATAGTAACCTAGGTGCTGTTCTGGGTGTGGTTGACAGGTGGGATGACAGCTTCTTACTCTAACAGCATTATGTTCTACCAAAAGAGCTGGGATTGATTAACAGAGAAGAACATACAGTATTTTTTACCCCTACTATCAACTGCTAGTAAAATTCTTATGAAGTAAAAGTCCCCTGGCATGTCTGCAGCTGGGAGAATGATGGCAATCTCTTTTTGGATCAGGGCATAAACCAAGAGGCACATAATACCCCAGAATGATAATTCTGTTTTCATCTGTCAAAAGCCATCTTTTACTTCTCTGAGACTGTGGTTAGTCATCCTGACACTTGTTTTCCTGTCCTGCTGCCAGAATTGCTTTTCTGGCTGTTTTGAACAGACTGTGACCAACTCCCTGGGAACATGGCAAGAGTTGATATGAGAGAAGACTGACACTAGCTCCCTGTACCAGAGCCTCAGTTTCTTTGATGGAAAAGGAGTGGCAGGATCTCTGAGGTCACTTCCAGAAATTGTGCCTCTAAAAATGTGTCAGTAGTCTTAGGTCGTCAGCTAGGTTTTCAATATCCTATCTGGCCTCCAGAGAATTTGAGTTGTTTAGTGGGACTCAAGACAGCATTTGGTTTGGCTCTGTTATTTTGGAGGCAGGTTAACTTCGTGGTAGGATGATAAGGTCTAGAGTTGATGGTTGCAGTCAGCTCACCAGCCAGAGCTCTTTGTAGCTCAGCTAACAGCTTTTCTTTTTTTGCCTCAATTCATTGTGTCTCCCTTACTTTCTACCCACTTCTCTCGAAAGTCCTCCACTTAAAACACACGAAACAATAAAAAGCAGAGGAAGATAATAAAATGAATAAAACTATCTGGGGTAGGAGAGCTATGCAGTATACACTAAAGTATATACGAAAAGAGTTTGACAACTTTCATTTATCCTTTTGGTGAAAAGAGCTAGAAGACATGGGCTTCACCCTCTCTTTTAAAGATAGCTACATTTAGCATATCCCCAGGTTCACTAGAATAGACTCTAATACTCCTAGTGATCCTGTTTCCTTCATCATTCTCCTCTTCATCAAGATTAAATAGATAGAACCTCAGGGGTTATTCAAAGTAGGCAAAACTCCATGAAACTCCATTTCAACTATTGTAGCAGAGGAACAAATTGTTCAACATGTTCTTTCTTCTCATGGAAAACCAAAGTTAGGGCTGAGAAGTTACTAATGTTGAGAATCTCTGAATCTTAAACAAGGGACTTCAGGTGATTTATGGCTCCACTATTTGCCAGTAATCACCCTGCTTTTATGGATTGCTCCTGTCTCCTCAACTGGACCTTCTGAGGGACTCTGTTCTTTTCACTTTTTAAAATTTTAAGGGTCTCATACTTACTGTATGCACTCTGATCGTTAGCCATTAAGTGCTGAATGAATGAATAGGAAATAAAGAGAAAAACAAAACAATGGCGTTGGAAACAGAAATATCCTAGACAAAATCCTAGCTCTTGCGTTTACCAGCTGGTGAACTTGGACAAGTTTTTAATATGTTTTTTAATTTCTTCAAGTCTCGGTTTCTTTATTAATAGAATGCAGATAAACCACTTCTTTTACTGGATGGGTTGTGAGGAATGGGATAATAATCCCAGGTATTATTATTGCGCTTGTTGAATTAATGCAAAACAGAAGCAAAAAGAGCCACTACATAGCAGTATGATTTTCTAACTTTTAATGCAGTCTCATTTTGTTTGACACAAAGATCTAAACTGGTGATCTGATGGATGAGTTGCTTTGGTTGGCTGCCCACTGTGGCAGGGCACTACAATGCTAGTTCCTAAAAGCATTTAAGAGGCATTATAGTCAGCAGTGGGATGCTTGCCAATTGTTTTTATTTATGATGCCTATTATGACCACGAGGCCAGCCAGTATTTGGCCCTCAGGAAAAAACCTATGGCCCCATCCACGTCATTACTCCATAATGCGGCGGAATGACTGGACAGCAGGAGAAGCTGCACCCCAATCGATGGGCTTCCGGTACTCCTTCTTGTCCAGGAGGTACTGTCTGCCACGGTAGTTGGGTAGCTCATAGAAAACCCAGACACCTTCCAGCACTTTACAGGAGTGGATCTCTCTCATGTGAAACTGCTCCATGATGGAAGGGCAGTCTTCAGTGGTTTCATACATCTGACCATTAAAATCTCCTTTCTCAAAGATCTGAATCTTATACTGGCCTCCACTAGTCTGAAATAAAAAAAAGAAAGAAAGAAATGAATAGCCATTGTTATGGAAATCATCAGCAGGTTAGGAACTCAGTGAACAGCCTGTTTCAGAACCTAAATCCTCAGAACTCCCACCCTCCCTGAAGAAATGACTGAAACAGTTGACTTTTAATAAGAAAACATTTCTCCAAATACTCAAGAGGTAGTAAGTAATGGAAGTCATAAGTGTAATTCAGTTTTATGATGAACTGATCTAAGATTTATTTAAGATTCAGCAGCCAAGAGAAGCCAGCTGCCTGTGGAAAGGTAGGAAGACTTTAAGGAAGAAGAAAATGGAGGAGAGGGAGAAAGTGAGCAAAAGCCCTAGACTCACCAGATGAATAGCTCTGCAGGACCCCAGGCGGTCATTGAGGCCCATCCAACGCTGGTATTCAGGGTACTCTCCCTGAGGTAAGATGTACATGTGCCCAGCAAAGTTAGGTCTTTCATACACAGCCCAGGTGCCTCCTTCCACTCTGATTGAGTTGCAGCGACTTAGGTATGCGTGGAAGTCTGCACAGTCGCAATCACAGTCATAGCGGCGGCCTTGAAAATTTTTGTCTTCATAAAAAGTGATCTGAAGTACAGGACAAATAAATAGAAGAACTGAAGAGTTGGGTGGCTTTATTCATAGATAAAATAAAAATTAAAAAATCTTGCCCACTTTAAAAATTCCTTTCTTCTCAACTCAGAGGAGACAGTATTTGTAGTTCTACTTTACCTCACAACATTTGGTTTCTGGCAAACAATCTCAGTTGTCAACAATAGGAAGAAGTACTTTCTGAACACTTAAAAATGAAGCAAAAGACAAAAGAGCTCTAACATAAACCAGAAGTTTCACACTCAAGTTCATTTCTTCTTCATGTTCCCACAGCTTTCTGTACCTATCACATTATATTGTAAACTGTCCGTTTCTATGTCCATGCTCCCATCCGACTCCTTCTAGATTTCATCCAAGGGCAAGAACCAAGGCTTACTTAAGCTATGGGCTCCCTGAGCCCAGCACTTGCCAAGCATTCAAAAAATGTTTGATAAATATGACTAAGTTCCACATACAGAGATTCATGGTAGGTGATATGGAAGATGTATACAGAAACACAGATTAATAAAAACATAGATTAACTTTCAAGAGCTTCTTTTAAAAGACTATAGAGCAAACACTCATTAAAATATACTACATTATATGTTCTACATTAGTTTCTTGCCAATGTGGTAGCTGTAAAGTAACGAAATGACAAGGCAAGAGCATTCTTCGCTTCAAAGTCTTACCAAATTTCTTCCACAGCGTCTGGGGTAAGTCTCTCATAGCACTAAAAAACATGCAACCCTTGGAAACCAGAAATAAGAAGGCTCAGTTCTAGGGCAGCTTTTCCACCATCAACATACATTAATGCAAACATCTCTCTGGGCTTCAGCTTTCCATTTGTCAAATAATATGACTAGAGAGACTGGAAGTCCTGGCTATAAAACAACTCAGCATAGTTCTGGCTGAAATAGAAGACAGCTCCCAAGAACACTTAGGAATTTATCAAGTAATTTCTGAAAAACTCTTTAAACAAAAATGGACTGTTTTTTTTTTTCCTTTTTGCTTAATAATTAATTCCAAATCTAAGATCAATATTAGGTTAGAATTTGGATTGAATGCACAAGTGTCATGATTTGAGTGGCTAATTTCTTGGAATTATGCTGCCACCTTGTGGCTAATTTGCTTTAATGAACCCAAAGGAGTAATTTCAGATAAACAGGGCCAGGTAGTCTTGAGTTCTTGAGCAGAGGATTGAAACTAGATGTTTTCCAGAAGCAAAGGAAGAGAGATAAGCCTGTTCAGCAGAGTAAAGGAGGGGAATAACATGGCTTATTGTAGGGACAATAAGTAGTTAACTCTAGTGCATAGTGAATATATGATTAAGAATCAGGGGGAAATGCCAGAGAAATGACACAAGAGCCAAGCTAGAATCAATACCCTTGAAACTCATGTGGAAGCCGAACATTAGTGGTTTGTGCCTGGAAATAGATGGTTGCTAGGGGCCGGGGGTGGAGGTGCAGAGATGATGAGGACCAAGTGCAATGCAACTACAATGGGAAAACAATCAAAAGAAATTTAGGATTTGGTGAGCTATTAGGTGCAGAGAATGAATGAGAGGGAAAAAAAAATGACTTGCAAAGGGCATAAAATATCCTTTTCCACCTGGGGTGTTTCTTTCTAGATAGAAACATACCAACATACCCACCTTCTACTTTAATCTTTCCCTACCTTTCCCATTATTCTCAACTCCTGTAAATCCTGTTCTCTAAAAACTTCCTTTTCCCCTTCTCACCTACTAGAAGAATCATCTCCTTTCTCTTCTCACCCAATTTTTGTTTTTCTGCTCCTTTCTTCATTTTAGCATAGCAGACTAGAGATCGATGGTACCTGAGTTCATGGATGAAAAGAAAAAAATTCCAGCACCACTACTTACCAGTTCAGGAACCTGGGACAGGGCATTGAACCCTTTCCTAAACATCTTCATTTGCAAAACGAGGTAACAATTTATACTGCAGAGGGGTGTTCTGAGGGCCCAAAAGGATGTCTACAAAGCACTTGGTTTAATACTTGATTCCTAATTGCCAATAAGCTTTTGCTACAGTTGTTACAAAGAAGGGACTTGCCTAAGGTCACTAGCTAGTTACAAGACAGCTGCATCAAGTTCAGCAATGCACGGTTCATTTTATTTTCCTCTACTGTCTCCCTGCTTGCACAGCCAGCTCTGTTCAACAAGGCAATGCTATCCTTTGATGCTGAACAGAACTGATCCTGAGCCTGTGAGGCTTTTCCTATTACCTGTAGAGAGATCTTTAGGAAATCAAATAACTTCTCAAGGAATGTATAGGTTCTAAACTCCCTAATCCATAAACTCAATTCACTTTGTTTTGGACTAACTATTTACCCAAACAGATGCTTTGTAAGGGATATGGTAATGGGAATAAAATTATCATCTATTTTACCTTTTTTCTCATACTTACTGCCCTGTGCACATATGTCTGATACTAATACCTGAGAAGTAGAAATATACATGACATTCTATAAGGTCACCATGCTGTTCATCATCCTAACTACCAGTCAACTGTCCCAAGGCCAAAAGTACTCATCATATTGTCATAGAATCAATACTGTGGTCCAGGACCAAGGACTTCAGAGCCAGAGCATGTTAATACCTGGCTATATTCAATTTCTAGTTGTAAAAGAAACATGAAATTTACTTGTTCTACTGTTAGCTGAGGTTTTGACTGTTGTGCAAAAAGTTTTATAGAAAACTAAGAGATGTGCAGAAAATTTTCCTAAAAAGTACCACAAAGTTGGGCTGGGGATGTGGCTCAAGCGGTAGCGTGCTTGCCTGGTATGCATGCGGCCCGGGTTCAATTCTCAGCACCACATACAAACAAAGATGTTGTGTCCACGGAAAACTAAAATAAATAAATAAATAAAAATTCTCTCTCGCTCTTAAAAAAAAAAAAGTACCACAAAGTTTCTATCATTTTCAAAATTTCTGTTGAAAAGCAGCTTACCAATCCAACACAAAAGGAAAAATGTCTTTAGTATCTGAGAGAGAAAACATGCTTAATATAATCTGTTCTTTTTGCTGAGGCCATAATTCCTTGAATAAACTGCTGGCAAGAGAGTGGGAAAGAGAGAAGCAATGAAAAATAGTAAGAGATTATTTACTATCTCCCTTGGACTAGCAAGCAAAAGTTATTTTAATAAATGAACAACCCAGCTATAAGAAATAAGAGATCATATTATTACTACTCTGGAAATCTTTGAAATTCCAGAAAGTGGGGGATGTTTTTATCTGTTTAAGATAGTTATGTAACAGCCATGGTCCGTGGAAATCCCTCTAAGTGTTTCAAATTCTTTGTTAGTAGGATGTGCATGGCACATTTTCAAGAACCTCAGAGCACTAAAGACCTCTGTTTTTCCCCAAACCTTCGGATGATAAGCACTGATTTTTAGCTCTATTTGCCAAATGGCAAAAAAAAAAAAAAAAAAAAAAAAAGACACTAACCAGTTATGGATCAAGTATTTCCTGATGATACACTGGGAAGTATACAATATTGCCTCTGTAGTTTTCTTGCCAAAAATGTTGTCTGAATCCACACATGAGGAAATAATCAGACAAATCAAGATGCAGGACTTTTTCTATAAGATACATGGCTTAGATTTGAAGTGTTAATGTCTCAACAACAACAACAAACGTAGAGGGACTGTAATAGATTAAATAAGTTAAAGAAAGAAGAGACATGACAAACCAAATATGACCTCAAACGTAATATATGACCTCTATATCCAATGTCACACATTTCTGGTAGCAATGGGGGGAATTTGAACAAGGTCTGAATATTTTATATATATACACATACATACACACACATATAGCATTATACTTATATGCAGAAATATATGTATAAATATAATACAAGGTATATTTATGATGAATCTTGGGGACATGATGATGTTTACACAGGGAGAGCCTTTGGTTTTAGGAGATATAGAAGGCAAAAGATACTTTAACGCGAAAGGATAAAGAAGTTTGCCCCTTATTTTCAAATGGCTTAATTAAAAAAGATCAATAAAATGTGATAAAATGTTAATTGGAGAATTCAAGGGAAGGACATACAAGTATTCACTGAACATTTCTTGTTCTTTCAAATTCAATAAATTTGAAAAATTTTCAAGCAAAATGTTGGAGGAAAAAAATCAGGTATGAGACAATAGCTTTGCCTTAGACTTATTAGTGAGTAGAAGAACTAAAGAGAATGTCATTCCCAAAATGTTGCCTAAGAGATCACTTCCTAGCCCAGCAACTGTGAATCAAATATTTTAAAAGCAGTTTTCCTAATGTAAGTGAACATTTTATTTGGTGAAAGGGTGAGAATAACTGCTTGAATGAAGAAAATACCAAAGATTATTTCACCTGACTGGCCCACCCACCTTGGGCTTTTGGAACATTAAGAGTGAGGCTAAATTTAATAAAACAAATTTTAATTGACTAAGTTTCCTACTCCACATAATTCTCATCAGTATGTTCTGTTTCTGTGGCGCCTCATAGAATTTAGTTGCTGGAAGGCAGAAATCATGATATTTACATGTTATTTATCTGTACAGTATTCACACAGCAATATAATATATATATACATACATACATACATATATATATGTATATATATATATATATATATATATATATATACAGATAGATAGATAAACTCTTAAGAAAGTATTTGGTAATTCTGTTAGAGTAGAAAAATATAATAAGCTTTTCTTAATTTTCTTTCCCAGTACTAGTCCTTTAACCATTCATACTCACCTCTAGGCAAAAAAGCAAAAGCTCTTCTCCACGTTCCTTTCAATGTATCATTACGTTTAAAGTGGGTAGGCTAAAAATCAGTATGACTTTTTTTACTTACCTTGGTTCCAGTTTTAGACATTTTTAGTGCATAGGTTGATTTCTCCAGTGCTGAAAGAAACCCAGGAAAGCTACAGAGAGTTAGAAGCCCAGAGACATTTATACTGGGCTGGTTTCAAATCAAACATTTGCTTAGTCATGAGAATAGGTTCCAAAAATTGAGTCAGTCATTTAGAGTCTATTGATGGTTTCTAGAAAAACAACTGGGATTATAAAATAAAGGAAAGCTTCAGTACCCCCTTTAATGCTTACCCAGCCCTGCTGCATTATAGACTTTGCTGAGTCAAGACACCAAAACCAAGCCAAAGTTTTAAATATTAAAAACAAAAAAGTCTCTCTTCCCTGGACAATTTACTTTTTTCAGCAAGCAACCTCTTTGAAATTCTTTTCTTTTTTTCCCTCAACAAAGCTTGTGGAAGGCTGAGTCTAAACACCATTCTCTATTTTTGGATAAAAATGACACATTTTGAAGGCAATAAAACTTACATGACAACTAAAAGCAATGCATGGCCTTGGGTTTGGAAAACAGTCACTACAAAGAACATTCTTGGGGCATTTATAAAAATTTTAATATGATTTGATATTAGAAATTCTATCGTACCAATATTTAACTTTTTAAATTGTTGGTATGAGTAGGTAAGAAATTCATGCTAATATATTTGGGAGTGAAAGTCTAAGATGTCTATAACCTACTCACAAATTAAGCCAATAAAATTATACTGTGTAGAGGGTAGTCAAGTGAATGTGGCAAAACGTTAACAATTTGTGAACCTACACAGCATATATGGGAGATCATGGACCTGTTCTTGCAACTGTTCTTTAACTTTGAAAATTTTTCAAAACACAAATTGGAAAGAGTTCTAATTCATAAGAAGCATGACACACTATACAGAAAGACAGGAAGCTACTGTGGAATTCTGGAAGTTGCCACCTGCTAGTTAGTCTTTCTTTGCCGACGAGATCATTTTTGAACCTGTTCAGAGAACGTTCTTTTGGCCCTGAACACATCTCTGACTTTAGGCTGACAGTACATCTTATGTAAACTCAAATAAATAATGTATCATCCCTTCTCCATTTTAATTTTTCTGATCTAGAATATATCTTCTCAAAAGTCCAACTTCCCTAACTTTCTACTAACAAAGTTGTACAATGAATATTTTTGTAAATGGGATACCCATAAGATATATTATGATCAAATTAGAAAACAACAAAAATGCTTAATATAAAAACTACTGAGAAACAAAATTAAGTTATATGTTTAGTTTTCTGAATTTTATAAATTATAAGGAAATATCTGATTAATATCATTAATGTCATTAACAAACAATTTCCCAAACACCCTTTATTATTCCAATATTTATTTATTTGATAATGCTCTGCTTGCTTGAATTTCATCTTAAAACAAAAACTCTGAAAACTTCAATTAGAATTAACAACATTATGAAGGTTAATTTTCACATCACAAATAAAAGTAGCCCTTTTTAAATACAATTACTAATTGAATTGCCAGTAAGCATATGAAATATGAATAATTCATTTTATCAACTGAAAATTGTTTTGTTTTTTCTTGAGAAACAAAGCTTATCCAAGTAAATCGTACTTCCATATGTCACAGAATGATAATGAAAACCTTTTCTAAAATCAAAAGTAAAGCCTTGGAGCTGGGGATATAACTCAGAAGAGTGCTTGCTTAGCACAAAGCCATGAGTATCAATCCCCAGCACCACACACACAAAAACAAAGCTTTATCTTTTTAACAAAAGGAGAAAATTACTTTTTAGCTTGTTTATTGAAAATTTGAAGCAGAAAATAAAAAATAAAGATTTTTACACAAATTCATTAAGTTTCATACTTTAAGGACTAAAATATCTTTGTATAAAACTATTTCTGTTTTATTTATACACCAACCAATCATACTTTTATTCCAATTATTTTTTAAAAGCAATAGCAACCATCTTTTAAATAGTTACAAAGAACTATAAAAAATCTCTTAACTCTAGAAAGGATCAAACCCTTTCATCATACAAATTACAAAATGAAATCACTTGCAAATCTATGATCACTTAAATATTCACACACATACACACACACGCATGCATACACACACACAAAATGGGACTGCCTTCATTAACATGTTGGCATCACAAACATGAGTCTTCTAATGCTCTATAAACAATATGCTTACATGAAAGTCAGAAGTTTAGCTAAGATTCAGCCTAAATAGTAATAATTGAGTATGAATGGAAGTCAAGGAAAGGTCTTAAATAAAGGGTCAAAAAAAAAAAAAAATCCTCAAAGTCTCTTAAGCAGCAATGAAGCTATCCCAATTTTGTATTAAGATGGGAACCATTCTTCATTCATCCTTATGTTTTCAGGGCCCTGAAGATAACAAAAGAAAAATTCATATTAATTATTTTTATTGCCTTCATGCAAATAAGAAAACCCTTATTTACAAAATCACATAAATTATGGAGATAATTTAGAGTGATAAAACAGAGTTTATAAGGTTAACCATATTCCTTTTTTTGTGTCACATTAGTTCATAATATCTTCTATGTGTAATTCTACAAAAACCTGGCAGATCATGAGATAGGTTTAAGCTAAAATTTTTACCCTGTTACAGTTTCAATTTCTTTTGCAAAATCTCCTAATTCTTAATCTCAGCATTATTAAGTAAAAATATGAAGACTTTTTCTTTAAAAATGTAATATGCAACTTAAAAATGTAAATACCACATAAAGTAAATAACAAAGTATATCTTTCATAGCTTTGAAAATTGCCATTCCTTAAAAAATTAAGTATAATATATCCTTGCAATTCCTTTCCTAGGTATATGCCCATGTGAAATCAGACCAGAAACTAGGTAACTCCTAGAAAACGTAGGGTCAATACTCCAACATATAGGTATAGGCATCAACTTTCTCAATAGGACCTCTAAAGGTCAGGAAATAATGCCAAGAGATAATAAATGGGATGGCATCAAAGCTTCTGAACAGCAAAGGAAACAATTAAGAATGTAGACAACTTATAGAATGAGAGAAAACCTTTGCTAGCTCCTCTTCTATTAAGAGGATTAATATCCAGAATATATACAAAAACTCAAATTTAATACTGAAAAGCAAAAAAAAACCCACTAAAAAACAATAACCCAATTAATAAATGGACAAATGAATAAGCAGCATAACAGACACTTCTCAAAAGAAAAAATTCATGACTGGAGTAGTAGCTAAGATTCAGCCTAAATAGTAATAATTGAGTATGAATGGAAGTCAAGGAAAGGTCTTTACTTAAGACCTTTCCTTAGTGGTAGAGCACTTGCCTTGCAAGTGTGAGGCACTGGGTTCGATCCTAGCACCACATAAAAACAAACAAAAGGCATTGAGTCCATATTCAACTAAAAATAATTTTTTTTTTTTAAATACAAATGGCCAACAAATATATGAAATAATGTTCAACATCATTAGCAATTAGGGAAATGCATATCAACACTACCCTGAGATTTCATTTCACTTCAGTCAGAATGGCAACAAGAATACAAACAATAAAAAATGCTGGAGAGGATATAGAGTAAAAGGAACATTCTTACACTGTTGGTGGGATTGTAAATTAGTACAATGGAGGTTCCTTCCTCAAAAGACTAGGAATGGGCCAGGCATGGTGGTGCACACCTGTAATACTAGTGGCTTAGGAGGCTCAGGCAGGAGGGCTGCAAGTTCAAAGCCAGCCTCTTCAAATTTGCAAGGCCCTAAGCAACTTAGCAGGACACTCTGTTTCAAAATTTAAAAAAAAAAAAAAAAAAAAAGGCTGGAATGTGGCTCAGGTGGCTAAGCATCCTTGGGTTCCAAACCCAGTACTAAAAAACAAAATAAAACCAAAAAACAAAGACCAAAGAAAGACAAAAAATGGAACCACCACTTAACCCAGCTATACTACTCCTGAAGAATTAAAGTCATCATGCTCTAGTGATATATGCATACCATTGTTTATAGCAGCACAATTCACAATAGCCAAACTATGGAACTTACATGTCCATCAATGGATGTATAAGGAAAAATACACACAATGAAGTTTTATTTGGCCATAAAGAAGAATGAGATCGTCATATGTAGGAAAATGAATAGAACTTCAGAATATTATGTTAAGTGAAATAAGCCAAATATAGAAGGCCACATGTTTTATCTCATGTGGAAGCTTAGAAAAGAGAAAAAATAGTTGAGGATGGAATCTCATGAAAAGCAAAGGGAGATCAGTAGAGGAAAAGGACCAAGGGATAGGAGGTGGGGAGGAAAAGAGAAATACTGGAGAATGATATTGACAAAATTATATTGTTATATTGTGTGCATGCATGAATATGTAACAACAAATCCCTCCATTACTTACAACTGTAGTGCACAAATAAAGATATATAGAAATAAACATGTCTCTACAAACACTTACATACGAATGTACATGACAGCATTATTCACAAAAATACCAATAACCCAAATGTTCATCAACTGATGAATGGATAAACAAAGTGGTAGATCCACACAATGAAATAACATCCATCCATAAAAAGGAACAAAGTATTAATACATGCTACAACATGGATGGGCCTTGAAAAACATTATGCTAAGTAAAAGAAGATAGACATATTATGAGATTCCACTTTTATGAAATGTCCAGAATAGATAAAGTAGATGACTAGTTGCCAGGGGAATAAGAATAGATACACAGGGTTGGAAGAATGGGGAGTGACTGCCAATGTGTCTGGGCTTATTTTAGAGGTTATGAAAATATTTTGAATTTCTAAATGGTGAATTCAGCACAAAATTGTGAATATACCAAAAGCCACTAAATTCATTATTTTAAAACAGTGAATTTTTTATGTAAATTACATCTCAATAAAAAAAGTTTTTCCTATCCTAGACACCCAGTCTTATTCCTGAAAAAACAAATACTGTTTATGACTTCTTTACATCCTTTCAGAAAAATTCTAGGCACATAATAAGCATATGTATGATAATCCCACTCTATTTTCAAACATAGGAGACATTTTAATTTTCTCCCTGAGTTTAGAGATCATTCAGTATCCACATAAATATATTTCATTCTTTTTAAAGATGCATTCATATTACAGATGAATCAGTCAATAGGCATCAGCTCTCTTCTGAGAAACATTTGGGCTATTTCCAGGTTACAGCTATTTCAAACAATGCTACAATGAATATATTTCTAAAAAAGATCTTTATAGTCTAACAATATTCAGTTATGGGAGGAATAAATTCAATACATCTACTGTACAACACTGTAACTACTGTATTGTTGAGAATGCTAAAGGGTAGATTCTCTTTAAGTTTTCTCACTATAAAAGTAACAACTTATGTGAGGCAATATGTATGCTAATTAGTTTTTTTAGCAATTCCAATGTGTATTTATTCCAAAACATCGTATTTTACAAGATTAATAGTTTTGTGGATTTAAAAAAGTATATAAAATAAAAATTTAGCAGAACTTTACACACACACAACACATATATATTAGTATTCCAAGAAGTGAAATCACCAAATCAAAGAATATTTGTAATTTTTATTTTTATTTTTGTCAAACTGTCAAGCAAAATGCCAAGACTCAAAAAAGTTTCAAACTTTGGCACTTGGTTTCTGGTTTTCTTTGGCATTAAAAAAAAAAAAAAATTGGTTCTAATTAGTCCAATTTTCAAGATTTACACATGGTAAAGTCTATGTAAATATTCCAAAATCTAAAATCTGAAATGTGTCTGGTCCTAAACATTTCAGAATAAGGGATATTTAACCTATATACTACATTTATTTTTAAATGAGTATCCTTGTCTCTGTATTTTTCTATGAGCCACCTGTTCATGCCCTTTGTCTGTTTTCCTTATTGTTAGCCTTTAAAAAAACTTTAGAGTAACGAAGTAAACTAATTTCTATCTAGAAAAACACCATATATTTGGATGAAATAACTTCCAGCAAATTTGTCTGTAACCATGTTCTATTCTGTCATCTATAATATTCTAGTGTTCAGTAATCAAACTTTCATATGGATTATTACCTCTCAGGTGTCATTAACAAAGACTGACTAATTTATTAACTGATTTGTGGGAGAGAGGTGAGAAAGCAGAGAGAAGAGAGAATCAAACTTAAAACTATGTATGAATGAAAGTAGAATCTTTGGACAGTGTAAATTGTGCCAAGTAATTGTGCCAAGCAAAAAAGACAAAATTGTTTATTTGCCTAAAATTCTAAAGGTTCCACCTTAATATTTTGGTTTTTCTCACTATAAAATATTGCAAATATGTAAAGGTCTATGTTGCAGTTGGGAGTGCTGGGGAAAAATTTGGCAAGGGTTAGTAACATAATATTTTGTGTATTTTTTGTATACTTGAAAGATTTCCCGCAAATGAATTTGTTTTAAGCAGCCTGCATTATAAATGCCTACCAGTGACTGGATGTAGGACCTTATCCTGCTGCTTGTTTGGAGCCTGCTGCAGGGGGTACAAGGCTGTCCAGCTGTTGGCGATGTCCTGTATTAATCAACCACTCATAAAACTTATTCTCCACAAGTACCTGGAACTGCTTCCTTTGATCCCTAAAATTGTAATTGAGAGCAAAAATAATGTTAGAACACTAATTCACCTAATTTTACTCCAAGTGATAACAATTTTAATGGGAGCATGTTAAATGAATATCTCAAGTTATCTCACTCTGTTCATAGTACATTAGATCACCATCACTAGTTGGGGGGATTGGTCAGATACAATATCGTCTTTGTCATGACTTATTCCCTGTCAGATATTCATTAAGGGCCAAGTTAATGCTGGGCAGTGTTTCAACTGATGTGAACAAACCTATAAATAAAAGGGAAGAGGTAAGTCCTGTTTGGGCAGGCTGATGGTGAATGACTCCAGAGGGCACCATGCACATTGTGATCTGTATGATCTATGTCTTACAGACTGTATATTCTAGTAGAGAAGATAGATAAGAAGCAAAATAAATGTTATGATATAACATAACTGAAGTACTGGTAATTTCTACCCTAATAGTAGGAAGGAAATAATCTCAAAATGAAAGACAGTATTTTACATTGAGTAAATTGAGCTCTTTAAAAAAACACTGTACTTATTTTTTTTACATTTTACCATTAGGAAAAACTTTGATAAAAACAGGCATTGAGTGCCTCAGAGACAAATAGAGCAAACAAAGAGAACAGAGAGTACTGGGAATACTATTTTTCAAAAAGGACAGAAGAGGCCTCTTGAAGATGATACTGGAACAGAGGTCTGAATGAAGTTATGGAAGAAGCACAATGATTACCTGGAAAGGGTTGCCAGGCAGAAGAAACAGAAATGACAAAGGCTCTAAAGTAAGACCAAATTTAACATGTTCAAGATAAGAGAAGCCGGGAGGCAGCTTAAAACTATCAGTTAGGCCGTGGTGTGACTAAGGTCTGGCATAGCTGTGATGTTTTTCTGTTGATCTCAAAACAATTCCACAGAACACCAACAGAAGACAAGGCCACCTGGGATGATGAAAGACCAAACAAGTACAAGAATACTCCATAATCATATCTCAGTTCAGAGGAAAATATAAATGTTGTGATCCAAACCACAAAAAATACGAAACACCACCCTTTCCTGGGTAATTTTGACTGTTGCTTCTTTATAATTAAACTTAGTTCTACTTCATTGTTCCCCCACCTAGAGATACAAATTATTAAGCTATTGATCACAGAAATACTTTCACTTTCAGATGGCATCTAATTCCTATTTCCTAGAACTCTCCCCCAAATCGCCTAACACAAACCAAAATCCAATCGTAAGTTCTTTTTAATACCTTCTTACTGAGATGACAGTTTTCTTCCTCCTTGGACTGTTTCTACAAGCCATCCTAGATCTACACATTTGTTTCTGCTGGTCTTTGGCAAGAGAGCAATAACTAAATAATAGCAAGAAGACTTTCACAAGGTGAGAGGGAGTGAATAAGGCAAAGAATGGCAGAAAATGAGGCAAAGAGGGTACAGACTTCAGATTGTATTCCAAGTAGAGTGGGTTATACATAATATATACAATAATTACAGCTGTCTAATACAATAAGCATATAATAAAAAATAAAATATTTAGGGTAATTTCTATCCTAATAGTGGGAAGGAAATAATCCCAAAATAGTATATTAAAAAAGATAGTATTTTACATTGAGTAAATTAAGCTCTCTAAAAACACTGTACTTATTTTTTACATTTTATCATTAGGAAAAACTTTGATAAAAACAGGCATTAGTCTGTGGATCAGCATTAGGTAGACACACCACAGACTAAATAAGTCTGTGGTGTGGTGGAGCCAGAGAAATCTGTATTTTTAACACTCCTTAGAGAATTCTGATGTGTATCCAAATTTGAGAACTATTAGCATAACAACTAAAACTAATCCATTTAAGTATTCAATTATGTGGCATATTTTACATTTCTTTAATTCATATAAATATCTGTCAACTAAACTTACCTTAAAAAAAAGGAGTCTAACACTTGAACATCTGTTCCTTCCCATCCCAACAATGTTTAAAATACTGACCTGAAATGCAAGTCTTAACAAAAGACACATTATATTTACTAATTACTTTAGTTCAGCTATAAGTAGGTGCAGATTAATTTTTCCCACATGGGGTTTCAAAGAAAATATAATTACTCCTAGAAAACACTTACTTTGTCAAACGAGCCTCCTTCACAGTTTTTTGCCAGATCTGTATTTTCTGTTCTCTTTGACTCAGTGCTTTCTGATAAGCAGATGGAAGACCCCCAGGTATCTCTGTTGTGTCCCCTTCCATTTCGAAGGGAATAATAAATATATAGAATTCAGAAGGTGGTAAGAGCTGGAACACACTTGTGTCGCTGTTCTCTCTGCATACAACCATTGGATTATTCCAATAATTAGGCACCGTAGCAAGGCCTGTCCTGGCCATATGGTCCTCTAGCATTGGATAGTGGGTATGAAAAGGGGCGAAAGTTACTCTCTGGTTCCCAGAGAGAATAAGTGGGCGCGTAGGGGTCAGAATGTGAAAGATGCAACCTGTTGTTGAGGAGATAGACAAACGATGGCAAACAGCAATGACTTTGACGTTGTCACAACTGTGGAGATGAAGAGCAGTCTCTATGGGGCCCAAGACAAAGGTGCTATTCCTGCACTTCTCAATTGTTACAGATCTGAAAAAATAAAGAAATGAGGTAAATTCCTCTGAATAAGATACAAAAGTTGCCTAAAATAATAGTATCTGAAGAAAAAAAAGTCTATCCTAGTCCAAAGAACATGGCAAAATGTCAGAACACTAAGATTGTGCTTACCGTAAAGGAGAGAGAAGATATATAAAAGATTCATTGCAGCGATGAATCTTGACATGCGACCCCACCAGAGTATCTGAGCTCTTGGCCAATGTCTGCTTGTAAACCTGGCTCATCACTACCATTCGATGCATTCTAGGGGCCATGTGAGTATTACAAGCAATCTTAGCTCTTTTGGTCGTACCTTCAACTGTTTAAGAAAACAAATAAATGAGACAGTTTCAAATCAAGGGAAAAAAACCAACCATATGAGGTTAGACTAGGCTATATCCTAAGATACATGTGGGGGAAAAAAATATAAGAGCTGGGCATTGGCTAAAGAGGTATCTGCTATATTAATCTCTATTCTTTTCTGTGTATTTGTAATCTTTCATAATTTGTTACCAAAAATTTAAAACCTATAAACCACTCAAAAAATGCCAAAAGATTTAAAACTTTTTTCATGTCTACCTTTCAAGTTATGCCCCTAAGGTCATATAGTTAGAAAGTGGCAGAGTTGACCCCACTCAAATATCTCCTGCAATATGTCTTTATCATCCCAACCATAATCTCTCTAAGTTGTCCTAATATTTTTTTTCAAGGTTGTTTGCATTTAATTAATTTAAATATAAACACACAATCTTAGGAAAATTAAGTAGACAAAAACATTTTCATGCATCATAGGTATTTTGCAAACATATACAGTGTAACCTGTTAATTACATTTTCCTTCACAAGCCATTTATCTTTTCAATGCCTTGCCTAATAGCTTGATGCTTCTCACTTACTTTTAACTGCTTATGATTCCTTTTTTTCCCAAGCTGTTTCCACAGGGATTGTCATGTCCCCAATGAAAGGGAATATTATAATAATGTGGTACAAGAAAGCAGCGAATAGTGTCTAATTTTAGACCAAAGACCACATGGATCATTCAGATAGTGATAGAACTTACTAAGATAAAATGATATATTGAATCATTTTTAAATCAGTGTCCTTTCTTTAATTTGCAGGAAGCTCATCAGAAGGTCTATAATGGGAAATTTAAAATTATAATAGGTGCCCATGTGTCTATCAAATGGCACCATCATTTATATACTCCTAAACCAATCCCAGGGATCATTCTTATCAGGTCCTTTGCCTCACTCCTGATGGACAATCTATGACTAAAGTTGACTCAGTTCTAGTCACACCTCTCCAGTCCTATTGGCCATCACCTCGAAAATTCATGAAGCGTTTCATATTTTTATACACAATGGAATATTACGCAGCAATAAAAAATGACAAAATCATGGAATTTGCAGGGAAATGGATGGCATTAGAGCAGATTATGCTAAACGAAGCTAGCCAATCCTTAAAAAACAAATGCCAAATGTCTTCTTTGATATAAAGAGAGCAACTAAGAACAGAACAGGGAGGAAGAGCATGAGGAAAAGATTAACATTAAACAGAGACGAGTGGGGGGAGAGAAAGGAAGAGAGAAGGGAAATCATATGGAAATGGTAGGAGACCCTCAATGTTACACAAAATTACATATAAGAGGTTGTGAGGGGAAAGGGGGGGGGGAACAAGGGAGAGAATTGAACAACAGCAGATGAGGTAGAGAGGGAAGATGGGAGGGGAGGGGAGGGGGGATAGCAGGGGATAGGAAAGGTAGCAGAATACAACAGTCACTAATATGCCCTTATGTAAAAATGTGAGTGTGTAACCGATGTGATTCTGCAATTTGTATTTGGGGTAAAAATGGGAGTTCATAACCCACTTGAGTCAAATGTATGAAAGATGATACATCATGAGCTTTGTAATGTTTTGAAGTTGTCCTAATATTAATTCTAATTTATTCCTAATATTAATTTTAATTTACTTAACAGTAACATTCCATGAATTCTAAATGAGTTCATGTCTTCCAAGACCATTACTACCTGAGAGCACATGTTCCCTTATACACAGTGTCTTGCACAAACTGACACAAAACATCTGTGCAGGTTGCCCTCCTAACATAATTCCAACACTACGTGACTGAGTTCTCAGGCTGTATTTTTCTGTGAGTCATCAGGACACCCTGTAAATAACACTGGCCAAATGTGAAAAAGTTAGATAAATACATCATTCTTCTTTTAAAAAATCAATTAATAATTTTCAGTTATATAATCTGACATATACATAACAGATGGTTAATGCAGAAAAATAAAAGTAAAGGAAAATAAGAATAATTGGTAATCCAATTATCACTGTTAACATTTTAGTAAAATCTTATGAGGTTGGATATTTTTTCTTTTTTTCCTACTAGTGCCTAACCTAAGAAGGTTCAAAAACTTGCTTAAACTTGTCTGGAACATCAAGAATTATGTATTATCTTCTATATATTTATGGGAGCTATTCACATTTGAAAGTTTCTGACCTCATACTAGAGCAGTAGCTTGGTTGAATATAGTAGTATTCTTGGATTACAATCATTTTGCTCCAGATTCTGTAGATGGTGTTCAGCCATTTTCTATTAAGAGTTATAAAAATCTGGGTTGGAGTTGCAGCTCAGTGGCAGAATGCTTGCCTAACCTGTGTGAGGCACTTGGGTTTTGATCCTCAGTACCACATAAAAATAAATTATAAAAAAAACAAAGGTACTGTATATATTTACAAATAAAAGATACTTTTTAAAAAAGTTATGAAAATCTGATGCAAAACTGTTATATATATTTTTTAACATTGGCATGGAAGCTTTTTTTTGGGGGGGTTACTGAGGACTAAACCCAGGGGCTCTTTACCTTGAGCCACATTCCCAGTCCTTTATTTTTTTAAGTTGTTCATGGACCTTTATTTTATTAATTTATTTATATGTGGTGCAGAGAATCGAACCCAGTGCTTCACAGATGCTAGGCAAGCACTCTATCATTGAGCTACAATCCCAGCCCCTCAGCCCTTTTTATTTCTAATTTTGAGGCAGGGTCTTGCTAAGTAGTTGATCCTTCTGCCTCAGCCTACCAAGTCTCTGGGATTACAGGCGTATGCTACCACACATTGGTTAGAAGCTATGTTTGTTGTTACTTTGAAATTAGAGATTGAGGAAATATATTCTAGAGCATTTTTTTTTCATTTATTTTGCCTGTACTTGCCTACAGAGATGTATGTTCGGTGCCTCTTCTCTTAAAACTTATACATGGTCCCAGGAGTCATTCAACACCTGAACCTATTCATTTAGCCATTGCTGCACTATCAGGAATAGAGACCTGATGCAAACAACGCCAGATTCTCTCTACTAAAACTTAAATTTCTAGAAACATTGACTGTGCTTGGTTCTATGTAGTTAAAACAGATCTCATCTCTACACCAACTCTGAGGTGATTACTGTTACTATTTGGTTATTTTAGGATGACCAAAATCTGCTGTTGTTAGAAATAAAAAAAGTCTGAAGCAAATGAGCATACAAGAGTGAGAGGGAGAGAGAAGTGGAGAAAAGCATAACAAAAAGAGGACTAACTACAGTTGGAGTTTCTGTTAACTAACCAAATGAGACTTGACTAATAAACCAGCTGAGATTTCTACTCCCCTGAGGGAGAAAGCCGTGTACAAAAGATAGATATTCCCCCTTTTTCTCTGTTATAGTAGCAGTATTTTTTATTTTTAGATCCTCTGCAAAAAAGATGCTGATCATTAATACATTAGAAAACTAGGTTCCTTAACTTGTAATTCAAAATCAACTAAAATATTTCAAAAGTACCTTGGTGAGCCCAAGCCAATTTTTTTCCTGACTTGAGGCAAGCAGATGTACCAAATGGATTCCCAGTTAAGCAAGCTCTCAACCAGGCTTCCAGCTTGTAGAAAGAGAAAGTCTTGGAGATCTTTGAAAAGCCACTCTCTGCATGCAGTGGTTGCCACAGTGCAAGTTCATGAAGTGGATATATCTTCCTGGCTGTACTCACTGAGCCTTCAAAAAGAAAGCTGAGTGCCACAACAGCTTCTTGAGAGACGAGACTACTACGAGTTGAATGAAACGACGCAGTAAGTTGTTCTGGATCTAAAAGCAGCTCAAGGAGATCTGATAGATGATCAGAGACAAAAGCTTGGTGACTATAATCATTCCAGTTCTAAAAAAAAAAATTAAAACCAAAAAATTAAAAGAAGCATTTTTAATAGAACTATGAGATTCTATTAAGATCTAAAATTTTTGGTTATTTTACATTCATATTCATAGTTTGCCTTATTCCTCCCACCCCCAAAATTTAGATGGCTATACATAGCAACTTTTTTGACTGTATATGTCAGATATAAATAGATTCTCCCTTTACATTAACTAATTCAAAAGCAATACAAGATGCTGGGCATGATGGTACCTTCCTGTAATCCTCAGCTACTCAGGAGGCTGAGGCAGGAAGATTATGACTTTGAGGCCAATCTGACAACTTAGCAAGACCCTATCTCAAAATAAAATAAAAAGGGTTGGGGATATAGCTTAGTGATAGAATGCCTAGCATGCTCAAGCACCTGGGTTCAATCCCCATCACTGCAAAACAAACAAAAAACAAAAGCAATACAAGTGAATATCCCTTATATCAAATGCTGAGATGAGATGTATTTAATTCAGACCTGGGATTTTTTTGAATTTTGGAAAATGTGTTTATATATAAAATGAGACATCTTGGGGATGGTACCAAGAAATTAATTTATACACATAGCCTGAAGGTAATTTTATATAATAGTTTTAGTATGCCTGCATTCTGACTGTCATCTGTCTCTTGAGATCAGGCATGAAATATTCTACTTGTGGTATAAAATTGTTGCTCAAAAAGTTTCAAATTTAGGAGTATTTTGAATTTCTAATTTTCAGTAAGGGATGCTCAACCTATAATAATAAATAGCTCTTAGTATGTAGTAAGCATTAAGTTTTATATATACTTTAACATATTAAATTCTAATAATAATACTAAAATAGACACTATTATCACAGCTATTTTACAGATGAAGAAACGGAGCTACAGAAAGGTTAAGATATTCTCCCAAAGTCACAGAGCTAGTAAATACTTTTAAAGTTTCAGGTTAAATATATAAATAGTCACCAAGGACATCCAGTCAATGAAGCACTGGGTTTCTTAACTGACCTTCTCTAATAGTGTATGGAATTTCAAATTATACTGAGTGAAATGATCATACTAGATCTAAGAGAAACTGCAACTTTGGGAATAAGCTTTGAGTTAGCAGATATCCCAGTGGTTTGGCTTATTCATTTGACGGGTATTTTTTGAGCATCTCTTAATTGGCTTGAGCAATATTAAATGATAAATATGTAAACTGAATAATCTCAAGAGTCTGTGTGGTAAGAAGACAATTTAAATAAATAATAACTGCACAGTGAGATAAGACCTATATTAGTGATCTCTAAAAATATCCTGTGAGCATGAGAGAAACAAATAACTCTACCTGGGGAAAAAAATCAAGGTGGAGGGCTGGGGTTGTAGCTCAGTGGTAGAGTGTTGGCCTAGCACACCTGAGGCATTGGGTTTGATCCCCAGCACCACATTAAAAAAAAAAAAAAAAACTAAATAAACAAAATAAAGGTATTGTATTCATCTACAACTAAAAATTAAGAAAAAATCAAGGTGGAGCATTGCTTGAAAGATTCTTGAATGATGCTGGTGGTCAGGCAAAGAGATAAGAAAAAAAAAGGCATTCTAGGCATAGGTAACAGCATGTGAAAAGTGAAAATACCACTTTGTTCAGAAAACTGGAAGTTCTGGGTGAAATATAGAAAGCACGGGGAAAAGTAGCAGCTGGAATCATAAAGAGCAATTGTGAAAGGCCTTATACAAATTATTAAAACATCAGGATTTTATTTTGTATGCCAGGGACTTTCCAATTATTTTCTAAATAACTATACTTGTTTTTCTTTTAAGTAAATTCTCATACGGATCACAAAGAAAAAAGATCAAAGCACAGCTGTCCTCAGTTTCAACCTGACTTCCTTCTTTTTGCTGCATTCCTCTCCCCCAAAGTATGCCCTGAGGTGGTTCTAAGCAGTACAAAAAGAAAACTACAATGATAAAGAGAATTCACTGATAGGAGTTCAGACAGGAGATGAACATAATGCATTTTTACAAAGTCTAGTATGGCAGACTAAAAGTAGGGTGACCAGATAGAACCTAATGACATAAAATAGGCAAAAAGGAAAAAAGTCAGAGCTGGGTGGGATAGTGCATGCATGTAAACCCAGTGACTCAGGAAGCAGAGGCAGGAGGATTGCAAGTTCAAAGCCTCAGCAACTTAGACCTTCTTGAAATAAAAAATAAAAAGGGCTAGGGATGTGGCTCAGTGATTAAGGGCCCCAGAGTTTAATCCCTGGTACCGAAAGAAAGAAAGAAAAAAGTCAGATAAAGGGAAGAAAAGGAACCTATTTTGAGGCAGAATTAGTTAAGACCTGACAACTAATAGACAAGGGTTAGGGGAAAGAGCCAGTATGGGTAGACCAGTGGCAACTTCTACTAAGTTATAAGGAACTATAACTATATAGTTAACTATATAGCTCTATAGTTATATAGAATAGTGAGAAAAAGTTAACTCAAGTAAAGATAGGTTGTATTGAAGGGACATATGGTTGTCTCCCCAATAGACACAGGCTGTATCAGAACAGGAACTGGAAATCCACTTCGCTTTCAGAGGCCAATGAGCCTCTGCTTATCTGTTCCATTCTCTCCTATTTCTCTGATGAGAAGCATCCTGTACTTCACTGATTATTTTAATTTCTAATTCTCATAACTTCTCAAAAGTTCATGAGTATGGTGGCTATTCTAATGGATTTCAATGCCTCATGAGTTTTTAGCTCAAGCATATATCACTAACTGGTAACTTCTTCAGTCCCTAAGGCGACTGATAGCCCAAGTCATCATTTTAAATCAGACCAATTTCAAATGAGCTACTCTACTCAAGTGTCCTGGTCTAATCAGTTGTTGGAGAGATCAGGTTATAACAGCACAAACCAGAGTTGCCACTGCCTGGTGCTTACTATGCAACAAGTCTCATGGTAATATATCACTGATTCTTGGCCAATCAGAAATAGGCACTACTACTCCCATTTAAAAAGGAAAAGCCAAGACAAGTTAACTGATCTGCCTAAAACCATAATATTATTTTTGGTAGAGCCAGATCTGAATGCAGGCTACCTTGGCTCAAAACACCATCTCCTAAGAGTACCCATTTTGTAGGAACTACATGGACAGAGAGCATAGTGACTGGTATCGCTAATGCATCTGGATTTGGACAATATAATTTTTTTTTTTTTTTGGTACCAAGGATTTAACTCAGGGTCACTCACCACTGAGCCACATCCCCAGCCCTATTGTGTATTTTATTTAGAGACAGGATCTCACTGAGCTGCTTAGTGCCTCACCATTGCTGAGGCCGGCTTTGAACTTGTGATCTTCCTGTCTCAGCCTCCTAAGCGATTGGGATTATTATGGGTGTGTGCCACTGTGCCCAGCATGGACAATCTAAATTTAAGGTATAGCTTGGCCGTTTATGTGAATATCAGGCAAGAGTTCTAGCATGGAGACGAACTTGGACATCACTGAGTTATATAGAGTAGAGGGAACAATTATACTGAATGAAGTAGGAAGAGAAAATTGCCTCAGGCAGAATACTGACAAGTAAGGGCCAATGGGAGAGAAACCTATGAAGACAAGTGAGAAGGAAGAGTATGATATGTCAAGATCATTGTATTGTCTTGAGCAACCATTAAAAAAAAAAGTAGAACCAATAAAGTATAGTATCATGGAATATAAGAAAAGGCAGACTTATTAAAAAGAATATTATAAAGTGCCAGATATTAAAGGGTTTTTTTTTAAGTTTCAGAACATTTTTAAAGAGCCTACACATGATATTAATACTTACTATTTACATTTTACTTAAGTGTTTTAAACTACTGCCACAATAAAACAAATAAAATCCTTTCTGTTTTTCTTTACAAAAATGAAGAAAAAAGATATTTTCTAAAACTCACAATGTGAGGCAGTTACTATTTAGATTGTCACGGTTATAAAATTACTTAGGCATGACTAAACAACAAGATAGTTTTAGAGATTTTTTTCAGTATATTTCAATAAACTTTATAAATACTACATCTTCTTATTTATCCTTAGTCAAATAAATGGATTCAATCTCATTAACAATTGTAAAAATGGGAATGCTAATGTAATATAGTGATAAATTTGCCCCTAAATCATGAGATTTTTATACCAGTGAAGGAACTAAAACTATTTTGATTAGGACTACACATATTGATTTTATAACTAGGATTATAAAAAGTAGAAAGCAAAAAAATAAAACAAACCATCAAATCACTAGCCTATACAGCCCAACATAATTTTTAATGGTGAACCTTCTTCTTCAGAAATTGTCCAATTCAATGAAAGAGACCAAGAAAAACAACAGTACCTTATTATGACAATTGGATTTTTCTGTCAGGTCGGGAGACTGAGATCTGCTTCTGGGACTAGGCCACTCTTCTCCAATCAAAGATGTCCTCAGGGAAACCTTATTTAACTGTTGTATGTATAAAAACAGCAGAAACTGTAGAGTGTCCACTGAAAGCTGTTCAAGAGGAAAATAAGGATGAACACATGACTTAAATCAACATTAAATCAATCATTAATCTACAACTAAGTAGATACAATAAACTTATGTTCAAAAAACAGTTTGCTGATCCTAAAAAATACTTCAGAAACATTGCTAGGATTTCATATGCATTCTCTGATACCCAGATGCAGGAGTGTCTACAATGGATCTCAAGTCACTTTGTAAAAATTCATAGAAATTTTTTCCCAAAATGAAAAGTAAAGGATGAAGAATATACTTAAGTACATTATTACAGAAGTTTAATCTTATAGTTAAAAAAAAATCCACCTTAATTTGAATAAGTAAATGAACAGATATAAGGGGGAAAAAGAAAATTTGGTCAAAATACAAAGGTTCAACATAAGGTTCACAGACTTACCAAAAAAGTTTAGGATATCTGTGTAATAACTGAAACTGTATGTAATTTCTTGGTGTATGTGCATTTTGTGAGGGGAGTAGGTCTCAGGTTTTCATAAAGTACTTAAGAGATATAAAGAAAAAATAATGCTACTGGTCTGATAGCTATACAATGTCATTTCTTATTTGAGAAAGGGTGTAGTTTGAAGCTCACAATTTGAAGTTCACAATTACCCTTAAGTACCCATCCCCATCTCCCACATAAGAAAGGCAAAAAAGTGAAGTGACACATCTGAGTCTACAGTTATATTCACCCTCATTTCCAAGGGGGCTAAAAATTGCTATTCGAGGAATTAAAAAATACAGACACTTAAAAACACAGATCCTCAGGATCACCCAGATCTATTCAACCAATTGTCAATGTGGGATCCCATGAAAGCATGTATTTAGTAATTTTTTACTCTATAAATTCTTTAAGATAACTGAAGTTTCACATGCAGCTGTAAGATCTAATATAGAGAGATCCCATGTAAATTTAACCCAGTTTATAACCTTGCAAAACTATAATACAATGCCACAACTATGACATTAACATTAAAGTAGTCAGGAGAGAGAATATTTCCATCAACAAAGGGAGCTCTCTTATTGCCCTTTTATAGCAATACCCACTTCCCTGCCACCCTCATCCTTTCCTTAATCCCTGGCAACCTCTCATCTAACCTCCATCTCTATAAATTCTGTTATTTCAAGAATGTTACCCCCCCACACACACAAAAAAAAAATTACATAAATGGAATTACAGAGTATATAACCTTTTGATACTGGCTTTTTTACTCAGGGTAATTCCTTGATTTTATACATACTTCCATTTAATACTTTTTGTTATTTTATTATATTCTTTATATGGTCTACCCATTAAACTATAAAATTCTTGCTTTATCCATTTTTAAAGCACTAGTAACTAGCATAGAATATGCTACATAATAAACACTCAAAAAATTTGTAACTTCTTGAAGGTCTTACTTCATCTCTGTATCTGTAGCATCTACTTCTGTACCTAGCACATAGTAGGCTCTCAATATTTCATTGATGAATAACTGCAATGCCTCATCCCTCCTGGTTGCATGATAAACTTTTCAATTTCCAAAAGCTTTAGCTTTTCTATGTGGCAGAGACTGGCTAAATGTTAACTCCTTTTTCTCCTCTTTGAAGGGCATACTGCGTCCCTTGCAGTTAGATACGGTATAACTGAATTACAATCAATAAACGTGGGTGAATTTACAGTTATATCTGCTATTTTCAAGCATGACCCATAAAATTCTCCAAAAGAAATTGAAGCAAAAGATGACTCTGAGGGCCTAATAGACACGGTTGTGGCAAACTGTATCATTATTTGCAATTGTTCACCTCCCCATCTTTCAAGAAGCTAATACAGCCATACTCATTGCCATGAGATTTCCCATATTTCCTGTGAGATAATTTACCTTCCTACCTCATTGACTTTATGCATGTGACAGAGCTTTAGCCAATGGAATAATATTAGGTTGTTTTATATTACATCTGAATATAAGTCTTTTTTTTTAGTTGTAATAGACACAATATCTTTCATTTATTTATTTATTTCTACATGGTGCTGAGGATCGAACCTCAGGTCTTGCACATGCTAGGCAAGCGCTCTACCACTGAGCTACAACCCAAGCCCTGAATATAAGTAAGAGGCATCATGAGAGCCTAGAAATAAATCCATACACATATGGTAAACTAACTTTTGACAAATGTGACAAGAATGCAAAACAGGGAAAGGATAATCTCTCCTACAAAAGATATTAGGAAAACTAGATATCCATATGCAAAAAAAAGAAAGAAAGAACTGGGTCACAGCTTAGACCACACAGAATCAACTCAAAATGGATTAAGGACTTAAATGCAACAACTAAATTAGTAAAAACTTCTAGAAGAAAAATAGGAAAATTTCCATGATATTGGTCTTGGTATGATTTTTTTGATACGATACCAAACCAATGGTTACTGTTCTAAGCCACTAAAATGCTGTGATTATTTGTTACTGTAATTAACATACTTACTTTGTAAAGTCTTTCCTTATCACCAGGCAACAAAAGCAAAAATAAACAAGTGGGATTAAATCAAACTAAAAATCTGCACAGAAAAGAAAGACATCGACAAAATGAAAAGGAAACCTGTGAAACGAGAAAAAATATTTGCAAATCCTATATATCTGATAAAAGTTAGTTTCAAAAATATATAACAGACTCATACAACTCAAAGGCAAAAAAAAAAAAAAAATCAAATAGCCCAGTGAAAATTAAGCAAAGGACCAGAAAAGTCATTTCTCCAAAGACATCAAAAAGCCCACAGGTATTTGAAAGGTGTTCAACATCACTAATCATTAGGGAAATGCAAATCAAAACCATAAGGAGATATCACCTCACATGTTAGGATGTCTATTATTTTTTTTTAAAAGTGAAAGATTAACAATCATTGGCAGGGATGTAGAGAAAAGGTAACCACTCTGGTACACTGTTGGCAGGAATGTAGATTGATACAGCAATTATGGAATACAGGATGGAAGTTCCTTGAAAATTAAAAACAGAACTACTATATGATCAATCTCACTTTTGGCTACTTAACCAAAGAAACTGAAATCAAACCAAAACTTTCATGTTCACTGTATCATTACTGACAATGGCCAAGATACAGAAACAATTTAAATGCCAAGATACAGAAACAATTTAAATGCCAATCGACAGATAAATGGATAAAGAAAATGTGATGTGTGTGTATGTATATTCATAGAATGGAATACTATTCAGCCTTTAAAAAGAAGGAAATTTCTGCCATTTTCAACAACATGGATAAACCAGAAGGACATTATACAAAGTGAAATAAGCCAGATGCTGAAAAACAAAACTATATAACCTCCTTGTATGTTGTATTAGTCTACTTTCTGTTTCTATAACAAATTCTATAAAGCAGATTACTTTATAGCAAAAAGAGGTTTCTTTAGTTCTAAAGGTACATAGTTCTAGTGGTACAAGGTTTGAAGGGCTGCAACGGGTGATGGTTTTCTTACTACAGCCCAAGGAGGTCCAGGGCATCACATGGCAAGAAACAGTGAGTATGTTTATGTGTGTCTGTATCTGTCTGCTCTCTCCCTGTCTTCTTAGATAGCCATCAGTATTCAATCATAGGTGGGCTACCCTAATGACCTTATCTAGTCCTAATCACTTTCCAAAGGCCCCATCTCCTACACCACAGTCAACAGATTAAAGTTCTACCCTCTCTATTCCTCATAATGGGGAATAAATGGGAACAAAGGAAGCCTTAGGGGACACTCAACTCATCCAAATTGTAGCATACATGGAATCTAAACTAGTCAAGCTCAAAGAAGTAGAGTAGAATGCTAACTGTAAAATGCTGGACAGAATGAGAAATGGAGAGTAATGATCAAAGGCTACAAAGTTTAAGTTATGCAAGATATTTAGTCTTAAGAGACAAGGCATAGTGCTTATAGCTAACAATACTGTATTGTACAGGTAAAATTTTTTCTAAAAGGGTATATAAATATAAATATTCTTAAAACACACAAATCGTAATGATGATAATAATAATAAACAGAGGTAGGGGAAATTTGGGGAGGTGACAGATGTTAGTCTACAGCTTTAACCCTTGACAATGGTAATGGTTTCATAATATATATACTTATCCCCAAACTCATAAAATTGTCTTCAAAACAAGGGGGAAAAAAAGCACCATGATTTCCTTCTGCTTTGTCACTCCTCCCTTCTGTTACAAGAATAGGCATGACCTATAAGAAGCTGTTTCTTCAGCTTGGATTCCCAAATGAGAGGACACATAAAGTCAATAACAGCCTGGAAGAAAGATATAGCTAAAGTGCATCCTACATCTTAAATAGGAAAGAAGTAAACCTTTGTTACTAAAATTTCATTGTTTTTTTTTTCCTGCAGAAAAGCTGATTAATATGAATAGTGACTCAAAAATACAGAAACATGGGTCCCTAAATCCCTGCTTGGACAACGACAGTCCAGAGATTCAACCAACCAGATGCACCTGTGCTGGACTTTTGGATGAATGAAAAACAAACTGATATTGTTCTAAGCCACTGAAATGCTGTGGCTGTTACTATAATTAATCTACTATGATTAACATACTTTATGAAATCTTTTCTTATCACCAGGATGAATTTTTCTGTATTCCATTTTTGTACTTTATGAATAATTATGATAATTTTTTATTTATTCTAATTAGTTATACATGACAGTAGAATGCACATTGACACATCATACATAAATGGGGTATAATTTCTCATTCTTCTGGTTGTACATGATGTAGAATCACACCGGTCATGTAGTCATATATATACACAGGGTTATAACGTCTGAATCATTCTACTATCCTTCTTACTACTCCCATACCTCCCTCTCCTCCCATTATTTCCCACTACCTACTATTTCCCTAGCACCCCTCCCCATTATGAATTAGCATCCACATATCAGAGAGAACATTCAGCCTTTGGTTTGGGGGGATTGGTTTATTCCATTTAGCATGATATTCTCCAGCTCCATCCATTTGTTGGCAAAAAGTCATTCTTCCATTATTGTGTGTGTGTGTGTTTATACACACACACACACACACATATATATATATATATATTCCATTGTGTGTATATATATATATATTCCAATGTGTATATATATTCCATTGTGTATATATACCACATTTTCCTTATCTATTCATCTGCTGAAGACACCTAGGATGTTCCATAGTTTAGCTATTGTGAGTTGAGCTGCTATAAATATTGATGTGGCTGTGTCATTGTAGTACATTGATTTTAAATCCTCTGGATATAAATCAAGCAGGGGAATAGCTGGGTCAAATGGTGGTTGCATTCCAAATTTTCTGAGGAATCTCCATATTGCTTTATGAATAATTATTTTAAACATCAGCTACCCCTACTAATTTATGAGCTCCATGAGGGCAGAGATGCTGTCTGTTATGATTTGTATGTGGTTTGTCTCCCAAGGGTTGGTGTGCTGGAAGCATGGTCTGGTGATATTAAGAGTGGGGCCTAGTGGGATGATATTAGGTCTTGCTAGGGGCATTGCCCTCAGAAAAGATTAAGGTCCTTGCTGTTCTAACCAGTTGTTATAAAAAAGCAAGACTGGCTTCCATCCTCCCTTTAGGCTTCCAGTGTCCCCCTGTGATCTTTCCCTCTTGCACTGCTTCCACCATGATGCCATCTGCCATGTGACACAGGAGATTCCTGCCAGAGCCAGCACCATAGTGTCTATATTCTCAGTCTCAAAAAAATGTGAGCTAGCTAGGTATGATAGTGCGCACACCTGTAATCCCAGCAGTTTAGGAGAGTGAGGCAGGAGGACTGCAAGTTCAAAGCCAGCTTCAGTAACTTGGCAAGGCCCGAAGCAACTTAGCAAGATGCTGTCTCTAAATAAAATATTTTTTAAAAAATGGGGATATGGCTCAGGGTTAATTGCTTCTGGGCTCAATCCCTGGTACCAAAGAGAGAGAGAGAGAGAGAGAGAGAGAGAGAGAGAGCGCTAAAGAAATCTTTTTTAATTTACCCAGCCTTAAATATTTGGTTATTGTAACAGGAAGTGTATTAACACAAATCGGTACCAACAGTACAGTTGTGTGTAATGATTATCTGAAAATGTGGAAATGACTTTTAAAGTGGGTAATGGGCAGAAACTGGAAGAGTTTGGAGAAAGAGGTTATAAAATGCCTATAATGGTATAAATGGAGTATTACAGGTAATTCTGGTGAGAGCTCACATCTGAGCTCAGGACTCAGGACTAGGGGAGAGCTAGAACATCTTAGCAACTGGATAAGTAGTTGTAACCAGATTCAAATGAGGAATATTCCAACAGAAATTGAAGTAAACATTACCTTTGTCACACCATTATAAAGAACTTGGCTGAACTGTGTCCATACTAGAGCTTTATAGAAGTCTGAGTTTTAAAAAGATGAACTGGAATGTCTGGCAGAGGAAATCTCTAAATAACCAAGCATTTGGGCCAGTGCTTGGTTATTTTAACTACATATAGTAGGATTTAGGAGCAATGGAATGTATAATTTAAAGAGAAGTAGAAGGCAGGGGCTGTAGCTCAGGGGTAGAATGTTTGCCTACCACGTGTGAGGCACTGGGTTCGATTGTTAGCACCGCATAAAAAAAATAAAGTTATGTCCATCTACAACTAAAAAAAATTTTTTTAAATTAAAAAAATTTAAAAAACAATAAAGGGAGGTAAACCAACTTTGAAAAAAATCACAGCTTGGCCAGTGAAGGAGTACATTCTAGCAATCTCTTGTTAAAGATATGAGCATGAGTGGATAAAACAAGGCCAAATGCTGTGCATTAGGACAATAAGGAAGAGTCCTGAAAGGTATCTCAGAAATCTGTGTGGCTGCCTCTTCCCTCTCAGACCCAGAGGCCTAAAAGGGAAGAACTGTTTCAAGGAGAGCTCCAGGTGCTCTACCTAGGCTTAGTGCCCAGGGCCCACTCAGGATTCTGCTCCCTGGTTTTCAGAGAAGTGATCCAGTTATGGTTCTAGCAGGTTTGGGTGCAGCTAATGACACCATTCCAAAGGAATGACAGACCTTGGTGTACAAATGGTGCCAATTCTGCAGATGTGCATAACTTGAGAGCTATGAAGTTATTGCAGTTTTTGCCAAAATTTCAAAGTTAAGCCTGGAAGGCCAGGCAGAGAGTTCTGCCCAAAACTATGTAGTAACCAGCATGCAATGCCAGTCTGATAGAGCTGCAATCATGAAATTTCAAACTGAGAGCTGAGGGTGGATTGAGTCCAGCAAAGCCAGAGGAGCAGGGCTGCTTGAGGCCTTGGAAGCCTAAACTCAGCTTGCAAAGGATGCAGGACCTGAAGTTTTAAGATTTAATGTCTGCTCTGCCAGGTTCTGGAAGGCTTTGGGACAGTTACTACGCTCTACTTGTCTATTTATTTAGAAATGAGAATGTGTACGTACCCTGGGCTTTCCACCACTGTATATTGGAAGTAGATAACTTATTTTAATTTTTCAGGTTCAAAGCTGAAAAAAGATTGCCTTGAGTCTCAAATGAGACTTTGGACTTTTGAACTGATGTTGGATCTAGTTAAGACTTTGGGACTATTTGGATGGAACAATTGTTTTGTATGTGAGGACAACATGAGTCATAGGGCGTGAGGGGCAGAATGCTATGGTTTGTCCTCTCTGAAAACTCAAATTTAATTGGAAAATTAAATATCTCCAAATTTAATCCCCATTATGAGGAATTAAAAAGGTAGAAACATAACTTATGGTGTTTAGAAATAGGACCTTTGGAAAATGATTAAAAAACAGATAAGATCATCAGGTCATCAGGGTGGAGCTCCCATGATTGTACTGATGGCTTTATAAAAGGGAGAAAGACTAGCATACACACATACTTGTGATGCTTGGCACTGCCTCAGACTCTGCCCACAAGAAGACCATCACATTATATGGCACTTTGACTCTGAACCTCCAAAACTATAAGTATTAATAAGATTTTTACCTTATTAACAACAGGGAAGGAGTGAACATGCTGTCCAAACCATCTTTGAATCACAGCACATAGTAGATGTTCATTTAAAGTCAGGCACCTCTGACTACAACATATCAGTGTTTCATAATGAAGTCAATGAAAATATTTCCCAGTTTTAATTTCAAGATTCCTGTAACATTATTACTTTGGGAGCAGGCAAAGGATTTGTAAAGACAGACTAATCATTGCCAAACTGGAACTGCTAAAACTCAAATGGTAGGATCACAACAGTGATTAACTTAAAAACTCAAACTATACTGCTAGTACAAAAAAGTAACAATGGTTTATTTTCCAAAGTTATTAAACACTTATACACATTGATCCATACCTGATTTCTCTGCTTTTCAACTTCATCTTCAGACATGCAGTTGGAGAGAATCTCAGACCATTCCAGGCGTTTCTCAGGTGTCCTCACCGAAAGACTATCAAATACTTCAAAGTAAAGCCATGCCAGATCCTTAGCCAACTGCAGTTTCCCACATGCAATGTGCCTCCATGTAGACCAGTAGAGCCGTGGGTAAGCTCCCTCTGTGGCCCGGATTCGCACATAGGTGGCTATCTTCCTGAGATAATGAAGACTGAACTTGGATGGAGGAGGGACCTGCAAGGCACCCACTATAAAGGGTTCTGCTTTTACCCAGAGGAGAACTCCTGACTGATCCATATTACCGCTAAGAACATCTGGATGAAAAGGCTTCTTTGCATACCTAGGAAACAAAGTTTCTTCACGAACTGACTTGAAACATATCTCATTTATACATTTTCCCTGGAAGGTAACCCCTCCCCTGTTTTTCAAAGTACCACATCATCAGTTTTAAAAGCAGCTACAGTTCATCAACCAAAAGCAGAAGACATTTTTGATTAGATCTCATTACAATCTTTTTGAGGAAAAAACTTCAATAAAACAAAGTTATCTTATTTGAATTATCAGAAATTTGTTTCAGAAGAGTGTGTAAAGGGATAAAATCTGGGTTGGATCCCTGCTCTGGGCAGGAAGAAAAGAAGAAAAAAGAGAGAAAAATCATCCTGTCATGGAAAGCTATGCTCTACTCTGGCGGGGAACATTGTTAGAAACAAGAATAAAATTTCAGAGTTAAATCACTTACACATAGAGGACAGTTGGTTAACATTTAGACATGTTAGCTGAACACACAAACTCAATATGAAACACTAATATGAGGAGCTAACAAGAATGCTCATGTAAACATAGGCTACAAGATAGATCAAGAGATAGTAAAGCACCTTTATTCTCTACAACAAACCTGCTCTGGCATATTCTATTGTGCTCAGTTGAGTTGTAGTATTTTTAGACTTTGTTGTTTATTTACATAACTATGATGGATAATTTTATGGAATATGTATAAAACATTTAAAACACAAGGAGGGAATCATCCACATTACCACCACTCAATGGCAACTAGTCAATATTTGATTGTACTTCCTCCTTATCTTTTTTCTATAGACTAGATGTTGTTTTTCATAGTTGTGATAATATAATACATATAATTCTGAATTAAAAGACCACAAATATATTCCCATTTACTTTTAGAAACTTACTAGGCTTAAGAGTTTTCATGAAGCCGAGTCTAGTGGCGCACGCCTGTAATTCTAGCAACTTGGGAGGCTAAGGCAGGAAGATCGCAAGTTAGAGGCCAGCTTCAGCAACTTAGTAAAGCTCTAAGCGACTTAGTAAGATCCTGTCTCAAAATAAAAACTAAAAAATGTTGGGGATGTAACTCATTGTTGATGCTGGGCGATGAACTGATGGGGGCTCATGTACATTTTCGCCTTTGTGTATATTAAAAAATTTGTTATAAAAAGTTAAAATGTTTTCATTATTATAATACCCTGATTATCATATTTCTGCATATTTTCTGCATTATGAATTATTTCCCAGAGATTTTCAGATGTATAATTGTGAAATGAAGTAACATATTGCTATGCTTCCTGACATACACTCCTATTGTTTTCAAAATTAACTGTTAAAACTGTACCATCATTTGACCAATGGAACCCACTTCACTGAGCATTCCTCAGCATGAACATCATTTAGAAAAAAACTTTCCTTATATGACTGATAAAAAATGTTTCACTGTTATTTTGCGTTTTATTCTAGAAAGTTGTGCTGCTTTGGGAAACTATTTAAAAAAAAAATTGACATGGAGTGCTTACTATGTGCCAGATAGCATGCTAAGTATTTTGCCTATTTCACCTCCTTTCACCTTCACAACCACCTAGTGATACATGAGTTCCTTCATTTTCAGTTGAGAAACCTGAAGTTTGGAGAAGGGACTTACCAAGGGTCATACACTTAGTTCTCACAGTCCTGGATTAGAAATCAGGTCTGACTAAAGAACTGTGCAGCTACAAACGTACTTTGGGAACCCAGAATGGGAGAATCTCTGGGAAAGGAGTGGGTCCAGAACAGTAGGAAAAGTCTTAAGACATTAAGCCATTTAAGCAACAGGTGAAGGAACATAGGGGTGTGAACTGAAAAGGGTGTGGGAGGGTAAATGGCGGCTGGGTTCGATATGGGAATGGATTGGCGTTGTTCTAAGCACAGCTAAACGATGAAAAGTACATTAGGCAGATCTTAGTTCTCTCCAAAGTGAAAACAGGCTGCTCGTGAGGTACTGAGCTGTTTCAGAAGTGTGCAATCAAAGCCAGATCCTGAAGACTAACCCTTTATTCTAACCCCGAGATTCGACAGGGCTATATTCGCAACCATCAAAACTGGAGCTCTTTCCCCTGAGACGCGCTGGGATAAAGGTTTCACGGTCGAGAAACAGGCGTGGGCCCAAGGCGCTCGTACAGAGGCTTCGCCACCATCTCCGCAGAGGTGTAGGATGTGGCGTGGGCCGCTCGGGCGCAACCACCCTATTTGGTAACAAGATATTCAGCTGACAGGCTCAGGAGTGGACCTGAGACCCAGTGAGCTCTAAGGCAGCCTTCCCAGCCTAAGACCGTGGCCCGAGCGGCCCAGCCTCCAGTTCAACCTCCCTAGCGCCAGCCCGCCCTCCCCAGTGACAGTCCGTCAGCAGTTACCTGCCAAAGCAGGAACCGGTCCACCGCACCTCTCCGCGCGCCCTGCCCGCCCTTCACCCTCCGCGGCGCGTTATATCCGCCGCGCGCATCGCGCAAGCGCAAGACCTCGCACCACTGAGAACCCGCGGACCTTGTTGCTAGAGTGGCAACTGCTTCTCCCGCGTCTAAGACGTACTTAATTTCTTATGAGGATACTCAGAATCCCAGGAGTCCACGATCCAAGAACCCAAGCCAGACCCATTGCTTTCTGGTTTCGCGCATTTCTACCCAGAGAAGTAAAAAAGTTTTCCATTGCTCCATAGAATGCTGATCAGCAAATATCTGTTCTTAAGGTTAGCCCGGTTTGATGGGGGGCGGGGAGGGGATAATGCAAGTTTACATTTGTGGATCGCTTACTACTGGTTGGGCACTAGGTAAAACACATTAATTGTATTATCCCAGTCTTCTCAAGAGCATTTGTAAGCTAAGCACATTTGTTTCACTGATGAGACTAGGGCATAAAAAGGTGAAAGCAACACCCCAAGGTCACACAGCAAGAAATGGGACAAGAGTCAAATCCAGGTCCTCTGAATTGGGAGCCATCCCCTTCTACCACCTCGGCCTCCTCAGCGTTAGCTCCTTAACTCTCATGTCAGCTTCCCTGCCATGTTATAGTCTTCAGGAAGCGTTTTTGGATTCCACCAAGAAGATACCACTCAATTTATGCTACCATTTCATGAATTCTGAACATTTTTGCTTTTCATTTATCGCCTATGTAGGTGTAAGAAAGTCAAAGTAGATCACAAAATACAATAGTTCCTCTTTTAGGTGGCCTCTCTCCATTACTAGATATCTTCCTGAAAGGGACTCCAGGTAGCATCATCTACTAGGTTCAGCGATTTGGTACTAATTGGTGCTGAGTTTTCTTTCTTTTTCTTCCTTCCTCCCCTGTGGCTCTGAGGATCAAACTCAGGGGCTCCCATATGCACAAAGCACTCTGCCAGTGAGCTATATCCCTTCCCCAACCTATGCCTTAGTTTTCTGCATCAGCAATTAGTGTTTGTTGAGCACCACTGTGTGTCTGGCACAGTGCTAGGAATGAACAAAACGGGCAAGTTCCTTGCTTTCTTGGGGTGTATCATTTAATAGGGAAAACCGACAACAAATACTTAAAATAGTGATTTCAGATAACAAATACTGAAAATGGAAAGGAGAGGACCAGGGAAGGCTTCTTTGCAGTGCTGAATTTGAGCTGAGGCCTGGAGAATAAGAAACTAGCTACATGAAGATCACAATCAAAGCAAGTTTTACTCAAATATATTTGATCACTACTTCCCCAGGCACAGTTTGTGCAGTTCTGTATAGGCTGTGAACATTAGTCCAGATTCATGCTCTCATGAGACTGGCATTTCTGTTTGCATGAGTGCAGAAGCAGGGATGGAAAAAATAAAACATGGTGGTGTAAAAAAGGGACTCAGTAGGGCTAATTTTGATTGATTGAGTTGATGACATTTAGGATATCCAGGTTTAAAAAAAAAAGAGTTCCTATGTTAGGCCCTGGGGGTGGGAAGTATTTCAGGCAAAGGTTAATAATAGCTAGGGCAAAGGCCTCAGGAAAGATCTTGATGTACTGAGGGAAGGGGGCGTTTTTCTGGATCAAGGTAAGGTGTATGGTAGGTGAGGGTATGGACCATATAATACGCCTTTTTTTCTTAAGGCTTTTTGAGTTAGCATAGCGTTGGCTTTTTAGTCTCAGTGCAAATTAAAGACCATTAGAGATTTTTTAAAAAGAAAGTAACATGACTTGACATTTAAAAAAAATCTTGGAGTATATTAAAATACTGTATTAAGACGTTAACTGTGGAGACAGATCAGTTAGTTAGGAGGCCTTTCCCAGGTAAGAGGATATGTCGTGGCCGAAAGGTGATAATGACTATGTAGTAAACAGATTAAAGATATAGTTGAGAGGAAAAGATTTGGCTGGGTTATACAGGAAAGGAATCAAGTAAGACTTAAGAGTTTTGTCCTAAACAACGAGGTGGTGCATTTACTGTGATGAACAAAACCGGGGAAGACAGAGAGAGATGAGTTCTACTCGTAACTGTAATAGTTTTTATTCATTGCGTGCTTAATATGCGCTACTGTGCATAATTTAGGTTTTTCTCCCCACTGAAAATTCACAACACTGCCAGTTAGTGCTTTAATTTTTTTTTTTTTTTTTTTTTTTTAAGAAACAGGCTCGGACTTGGAGGGTGGGGAAGGTCTCACCGCTTTGAAGTGCTGGAAACCAAGTCTGAACTCGGCTTGAGTCGGTCTGCCTCCACGGTCGCTTTTCTGTAAGCAAGCGGACCTCTTTTTCTACTCAACCGAGATACTGCTTACGGGGTTGCCAGGATACCGTAAAGTGAGACCTCCCAAGCGAGGAGTCCCAAGTAGCGTTGGCGCGAAGTAACAGCCCCGCCCCCTTCCGCCACTGTCCCTCATCGCCGGCATCTAGTGAAATTTCAATGTATTTCAATGGCAAATTTCAAGACTTCCAAGCTAAAACCTCCTTCTCCCAATTGGTCGGTTCTGGTAGAAAAGTCTCGCGATTGGTGAAAAATCCAGGGAGTCGATAAGAAAGATTTAGGGTATCTCGGTGCCTTCACTTGGCGCCAATCCGGGCCTTTTACGTAGTTTTCATCGACTCGCGGGAGCCGGGCCTGAGCGGCTTCTTGTGGCGTCGCGATCCTTTGACGTTTCCTCTTCCAATTGGCCAGGAACTGCGGCTGCAGTTCCGAAGCCTAACTGGCTACCCGCACCGCCTCGGAGGTGAAGTGTACTCTGCTGATTGGCTCCGAGGTACCGGCCGCGTGTGATGTCCCGGGCAGCGATTGGCCCTCGCTTGCTGGGGGCTTCTCTCACCGGGACTTGGGACTCCCGGGAAGTGGACTGGCAGAGGCTGGGGGCAAGCTATCTGCCTGCGGACCAAGTAGGAGACTCCCGGCGTGAGGCGGCCTCACAAGGCCGGGAGCGCTGGCGAGACGACGCGGCGGCTGCGGAACCTGTGAGGAGTGTGTGGGACCGGGGCCGGCACTGAGGAACCATGGCCCCGCAGAACCTGGGCACCTTTTGCCTGTTGCTGCTGTACCTCATCGGGGCCGTGATCGCCGGGTGAGGAAGAGGCGGGGCCGGCGGGCATGGGGCCCGGGAGTCAGCTTTGCTGGGGAGGAGGCAGGATGGGCATTGGGGAGGGAGAGGTGGGAGAAGCGGCATGGCCACACTGAGGGAATGGAGAGGGATATCCTTGTGGTACGACAATGGAGCGGAAGAGTAGGATAGTGTGGGCCAGGCTTTTGGGATGCGAGGGGAGCCTAGCGTGTCACCAGCGAGAGGACCTTAGATCCAGAGGCCCTGTAGGGCTTTGCCTAGAAGAGTGGGAATTGAATACAGTGCCAAATACAGCAGCTGAGGTTTGAGGGGAGTTTCAGGGGAGGAAAGTGGTTGCGAGCGGAAGCAGTGTCACGCAGAGCTGGGGAAGGAATAGGACTCCTGACTAATTGAAGATAGTGACAGCGCCGAGCTGAGATTGAGGCGATGGACACGCCTTCGGTCAAAGAGGTGTGTTGTTGTACCCTCCTGAGTTGAAGCAGAACATGGTGCAATGCTGAGTCCGGGGCAAGCCATTGAAGAGCTGACATTAAAGTGGGTGTGCTGTGACACCAGTCAGAGTGAGGATCTCAGGTAGGGAAGCAAACCCGGGACTGAAGAAAATTGATTTGGGAAGCAGCAAGACCTTTTAGAGAGCTCTTGAACTTCCCAGCTTCTTTACTATTGAGACAAGGCTGTCGTGCCTCACTGTCTCTCTCCATGGTACCATCTTGAGAATTCAAATGGTGTGAGTGAGAAGAACAGTTCGCCAACAGATAGTAAGCTGGGGTTTTAGCCACTCTATTTATGAATTATGTAACCTTGAAAGAAATTTAGATATTCCCATCTGTAACATGAAAGTAGTATTGTGCCATCCTTATGCGGATGGACTCTTAAGGATCCAGTCAGCCTTTAACATTCATGATCCTATACTCCTGGTAACCCAAGATATAGTACACCAGGCTCTTATTTTATTTTATTTTTTGTATTTATTTTTTAGTTTTAGGTGGATACAATATATTTTATGTGATGCTGAGGATCGAACCTAGTGCCTCACCCGTGCTAGGGGAGCACTCTACCACTTGAGCCACAACCCCAGCCCATATTTTAGAATGCAAAAAATAGTAGTCTCATCTTTGAACAATTTATAGGTTTTTCTGAATGGGGAAGTTACTACGTAGCATAGTTTTAAAATTTAAGAATTTCTTACACAAGTTTTTTTTACCCTTTGCATGTAAGTTTAAGCTTTGTTGTCATTTTTTCTTGTGAAACATCTTAAATTTCTAAAAAATTAACTTCTCCTAAATAATGCTTTATTGGTTTTTTAACTATACTTTTCTTTGTAATATTTACACATAAAGCTACAAGTACTCTAGAGTGTTTAATAAAATGCTAATATTAAATATTTTAAATCTTGTAGGTATAAACTTAAGTAAGTCATAAAATAGTCTCAGTGTAATGTTGATGCTGAGCTAAGCTAGCCATTTTCTCCCTACATTTTTTTTGAGCTGTTCCCATTTTTACATGAAAACTACTGAAAATGAGTATAAGTTTCATATTTTTCTCTTTCAGCAAAAAATACTATATCCAGATGGGTTTTATTTTTTCTTTAGAGTTGCTATTTGGGCTTTGACTTAACCTTTATTTTAACCTCTTAATTTCACCTCAGTCACTTTCTCTTTAACATTTGTAAGTGTTTCTATTAGGACATTTATGTCACATTATCTTTTTAAATAAAGAAAACCATCCTTTGAGATTGATATTTGACCTTTGGAAACAGTCAGTAGTCATCTGGAACCAGAAAGGGAAAAGGGGGAAAGTTAATTGCATTTTATGGTGTTATTGCCCAGAAATGACATGAGACCACAAAATAAGAAAATAGTTTCCTGATGGAAGGTAGTTGTAAAGAAGGTTACAGCCAAGTGTGGTGGCACATGCCTACAATTCCAGTGACTTGGGAGGCTGAAGCAGGAGGATCACAGGTTCCAGGCCAGCCTCAGCAACTTGCTAAAGCCCTAGTCAACTTAGCAAGACCCTGTCTCAGAAAATGCTAAGAGCTAAGAATGTGACTCAGTGGTTAAGCGCTCCTGAGTTCAATAACCAGCACAAGTCTGTGTGTGTGTGTTTTATTCCCATTTTCTAATAAAAAATGAAGGTATATGTGAAACATGCATGCACACCTTTATTTTTTTGTATTTCTTTTTTATTTCGTTTTGTATTTCTTTGCTTAGACAGAGACCTAAATGAAAAGGGATAAAAAACCTTTCACTTTTAAAAATGTAATATATAAATCTTTTTAATGATGTATTTTCTCTGTTCCTTCCCAGGCGAGATTTCTATAAGATCCTGGGGGTACCTCGAAGTGCCTCTATAAAGGATATTAAGAAGGCCTACAGGAAACTAGCCCTGCAGCTTCATCCTGACCGGAACCCTGATGATCCCCAAGCCCAGGAGAAATTCCAGGATCTGGGTGCTGCTTATGAGGTGAGTCAAGAAAAAAGATAAGTATAAACAAAAGCTATGGATATAGAAAAGACCATATAACACAGAGAAACACTTCATTTAGGTTACTTCTATTTAGAAACATATAGATAAAAGTAAAAATAATACTTGGTGCTATGCTGTACTAGATATTACATTCTTATTAGTAGATGTCATTTCCTATCTTTTTAATATTATTTTAATGAGGGGATTAATGTTGAAAAAAATGAATGAAAGTATGATTGAGAGATTAATAATCTTAACTGATTGATCTATCAATCTATCAGTTAGGGAAATTGAGCCAGAAATACAAAAAAAAAAAACCTAAATGAGGTTTGCAACCTAACATGCTCATAGGGACAAGAAAAATAACAGGCAGAGGTGTAAGATAAAACATAACAATGGATATTCTGCCTTCATTCCTTGGGAATTAATACAGATTGATGAAGATTGTTATTAACTGAAGCCTCTGGCTCTCTTTCAGTGGAGCAGATGTGACTGAACTCCAGTCAGTTTTTGCCATAAACAAATGCAAATATTATCTTGCCAGATCTACTGATTTTTCAAGAGAAGTTGGAAATCTACATTTTTATATAAATTCTCCTTATTGTAAAAGTTTTGGTAACTAATTAAATTTCTTTATTTTGCAGATCAAACAAAACATAGGTATAGTTTGAATTTACGGGCAAATCTAGAGGTCAAAACACTTGCAAGGGTAATGTCAATCTTCACAAGGATACTGTGAAATATAGTAGATCTAGACAAATTTTTATTCCCATTTCCTAAAAGGCACAGAAAAAATTAATTAAATTCTAAAAGTCGTAGAGTGAAATTTTCTGAATTCAAGTTTAAAACCCTGCATATTGAAAAGGCTGGAAAGTAATATGATTTTTTTTTTTAATGAGGATCTCAAAATAAAATTTTTTTTTAATCCTCCTAGATTAAAAAAATCTACTGAACTGAAATAGTCTTATACCATATGAACCCTAGAGCTACAGGGGTCTCCCTTTCTTCTCCCCCATAACTTCAGTGATCCTACACAACAGAAATTCTTAACCTGAGGTCTAAAGATAAATTTGAGAGGGCTTATGTCCCCTCTTAAATTGTATGTAACATTTTATTATTTATGAGTCCATATTTTATACTATATTTTCTACTTCCATTGTTTGCTAAGAACCCAATAGTCAAAAAATATTTTCGAAGGAAGTTGAACTTACATTTCTTTATAAAGAATCTATCATGGTCTTTATTCATGACCTAGGCAGGCTATGCATGAATCATTCATGAAATTGCAGTTTATATAATTCTACAACCTCTCTAGTTACTAGTTCAGATTTTTTCTTTTTCTTTGTACCATTCAAGCTTGATTGCCTTTTACCTTAGGTAAATGAGTGTTCATTAATCAAAATCTCAGTATACTACAAAGAGTTCTATGAATACCAATTTGCTTTCTCTACTGAGCTGGGAATATTTCTGGCTTTTTAATTAGTTGAGAATCTGCATGTTGGTTGGCCAATCTCTGTACCGCCCCCCCCCCCACACACACACACACTTTAAAAATACAAGAGGCTGGATATGGTAGCATCTTCCTATAGACCCAGCTACAAGGGAGGCTAAGGATTCTTTAAGCCCAGTGGTCAGGTCAGCCTGAGTAACTAGTGAGACCTTGACTCAAAAAGAAAATAATAAAAAATAAAAATAAGTAAAATAATTTCTAAGACTATTAAATAAATTGCTTTCCTTAGAAGAAAAGTGAGGAAGAAATGAATGACAACTTTACAGGT